GCAAACATAGCACAATGGTATGACGTAAATTACGTAAGTGGACTTGCTGTGCACCAGCAAAGTACAGTCCAGAATTTTGGAGCGATAAAATTGTATGGCGGTACAATTTCATCTAAGAATAATAATTTTGTCGAAGCGAATTTTCAGCAATCTAAATTATATGGAAAACAGACTGTATAACAAACATGATTAGTTCAAACAAACTTCTGCCCAAAGAATGCGTATGTGTATTAATTATTATAATAATAGGTTTTCGGACAAACGATACTTCTGCTATAAGACATTTCTGTGTTGCAAATTTATGCCAAAACTGTCATCGCACTAATGAAAAAAAGTCGAACCGTTTTCGGAGTAATGATATTCGGAAAAAAGAAATTCGAGTTTGTGATAGGTTACCGCTAGTATTATTAGTTGCAACTATTATTAAATATCTATTTTATTTTAATTACTTTATTCATTATTTATTTCACTTAAGGTTAATTACATACAGCTGTAGGTCTTAAAACCATTGCGGGTTTATCCGTCCACAGCGATTCGCTCTAGCAAGTATATTTCTAGTTTGTTTTTATATTCTCCTTCCACATATTAATCTTGAGTGCACACAGGCAATTCGTTCGATAATTTAGGAATTTCGTAATCTGGTTTCCGAGTACGGTACACATTATTCGTTTTAGGGAGTATATATTTCTTAGTATTTAAGATTCTTGTATTGTTTTTTTTTTGTGGTACGCAAATAAATTTTGTACATAGTCATATTCATTTGAAATAGACAGCTTGACTTTATCGTCAACACTCATTATTTTACAATAACTGAACAAACCGATATCATTATCTCTATATCTAGTTTTAATAAGTTTTGGAACAATAGTTTTTAAATTCTTAGTTGCATTATACAAATATCTTTCAGGTACACGATGTTTTATTACCATGACTTACAATTTATTTTTTGTGAAGTTAATCCGTAATGAAGTCGTTACAAATCAAAAACAAAAATCTGCAACAAGCACATACAAAAATTCGTTAGGTCTACTAGTTCGTTCCGTAGCTCATTGGGAGAGCATCAGACACAGCATGATCAAGGCACTCTGGTACGAATCCAGCCAGATCGAAGGAATTTTTCTCACTGTTTGACCTTTGCATTAATAACTAGCCTTATTAGTTTGAAAGCACGTAGCCATCAACGAAAGGTTGGAATAAGGAAGATATAAAGATGGATACACTTTAATATCTACCGGGATCGACATCTACAACTTCTTAACTGCTTGAATATAACCTTCTTTTTACAAAGACTTAACGACTTTTTAGGGACGAACTACATTTATCGTCATAGAATCGCATTAAGTCTGTTAGTAAAAGCTTTGTGCCCCTGTAATAAGACCGTAAAAGGCGTGCGTTTCGCGTCGGCGGTCCGAAGCGGAAGCGGAAGAAACAAATTACTTTTAACCGACTTCAAAAAAAAGGAGGAGGTATGTATGTTGGAGGAGGTATGTGTACAAAAAAGGAGAATGTTCGGCTGTATGTATGTTTTCAGATATCTCCGTCAATTGAGGACCGATTTTGAAAATCTTTTTTTTTTGTTTGAAAGGGTGCATTATATTTTATTTATTTATTTATTTGTTTATTTGCAAACTTTACAGCTTTTTAATTTTCGTTTACAATCATAATAATATACGTATATAGCCAATAACAAAGTTTGTCATATTACATTTTAATTATAGCGATACTTTATCTAGCGTTAATCTATAGCCTAATCGAAAAACAAACATGTTGAAAATTTACATTAAGTTCTTAAATTAATGGTAATCTACATATTATTAAATTATTACATACAAATATAACATTATTATTATATAAATTATAAAGGTGTAAGTGTAAGTATGTTTTAGTGTTGTGTGTGTTTGTGTGTGTGTGTGTGTGTCTGTGCTCTGTTTGTTTGATAATTATTGCCTTCTAAACTGGGGTTGATCCTTCAATATGTTTAGAAATTGAGTGCGGTTTAAATGGAAGATGTCCACGTCTCTAAATCTATCCTCATAAGTGCGCACTATTCTTTGCAAAACAGAGTGTTTTGCGTAATTCGAACGGGCTAAGGTCGTACACAAGGAGTGCATATGCCTCGTGCGTTTTGGACATAGATATACGAGTATATATATATAGTCCCATTATCACCAAGTTAGAATCTGATGAGGGGATCCCATGAAAATCGAAGGAAATCCTCAAATTTTATAGGCATGACCGTGTATTCACCAATTTCTCCATCAATTGTGTACCGATTTTGAAAATTCTTCTTTTGTTTGAAAGGGTATACTCTCGAGGTGGTCTCTGGCGCTATTCTACGTTCGTTTCGGTTATCACATATTACTGATTATTTTTCACAAATATATGTCGATTTTTCACTTGACACTTCACAACCAAAAAAAATGTACAAAGGAGTCCGTAACAGTCCCATTGTCACCAAGAAGTCAGAATCTGATGAGAGGATCCCATGGAAATCGAAAAAACCCAATAAGCAAACATAAAACATACGTGTGAAAAAAGAAAGCGACGACAATACGACGTTTTAAATAATTGCCATCATTAATTTCTTTTCAAATATATTAATGTTAGCCACGAATATTCCTACCAAGGAAGTAAAAAACAAATGGAAGTGCTTTAAGTCTCGATTACTATAAGAACAGCTGTCGCCGCAGCGCACACAAACAAATGATAAACACTATGAATTCTCGATAGTGATTGCTCGTACTTTCTAATTTAAAAAGACGTAACAAATTCTGGACTGTTAATATAATTTATACTTTACCCCAGTCGCTATATCGTTGAAAGTTCAATATTCGTATTGCAAGTTATGACGTTTTGATTTTATATTGAATTTTTTTCAACGTGCTGCTATCAAACGAACCACTAACATCTGAACGAATAGAAAGTAGTACCTTCTCGACAACAGACGTCTCTAACGCACACATTGCATAATTAATTTTATTTCAGTCAAGTAAGTTTACAATTAACAAATCACTCATTTAGTATTTTTTGTTCGCTATTAGCGTGGAAACTTCCTATATTTATTGTTCTGTGATTCCTACAAACAAAAAAGCCGTCTAATTAGTAGGAGTTACTTGTCAATTGTATACTCGTACATATTATTTAGCGCCTGATATAATAAATATAGCTTTGATAAATCGAGGGACTTGAGTGAGGCCAAACAGGGTTTTGGTTTTGAAAAGTTATATATTAATCGCAATTGTATTGTATTGCTACATTAGCGCAAAAAATATTTTACATTTTATACTTCTACATATGTGTTTTATAACCGACTTCAAAAAAAAAGGAGAATATTCTCAATTCAACTGTTTTTCTTGTATGTGTGTTACGCGATAACTCCGGTGAACCGATTTTGATGATTCTTTTTTTGAGTACCCTCTTTCCCTCAGTAGTAGTCCCATTTAATAAAATTAATAAAAAATTTATATAATATAAAATATTCGACCTCTAAGGGTGACAAACTAGGGGATGAATCAGGAAAAAATAAAACTTGGCAAATATATGTAATTCCACGAACATTTGAGGTCGGTTTTTTTTTAGTACTCTGTACTGATTCAAATTTTTAGATACCATGGGACGGGACGAACAAGTCGTGCGCCTGATGGTAAGCGACACGCCTGTCCATAACAGTTTCAGTGCCACTCGGAGCTTTTAATCGCAAAGATCTGAGAGGTACTGTCACGACACCCGTTACCCGGAGATATAAGTTGACTAGTCCCATATGCCTGTAATTTCACCTACGGTTTGGCGGCAGAAATAAGTAAGGTGGCAGTACTGCCCTGGACTAACTCTTTCACAAGAAACTCTACTGCTACTTGCTCTTAAGCTCACTGCATAGACAGTAATATAAAAATACAATACAATTTACTACCTCCTAATTAACTGCCTCCGTGGCCGAACGGTTACCATGCCGGACCGCCACGCAGAGGTCCCAGGTTCGATTCCCGGGCCGAGAGAAATAGTTGTATGGCCTACAATTATTTCTCTCGTGAGTTTGGGTGTAATTTGTGGTTGTCTATGCGTGTGTCCATGGTACCCGCGACACAGGGTTTCCCTAGTGCGGGGCTATGTTGAGTGTGTGCGTTATTTATTATTATTATTATTATTAATTGAGCCTAATAATTGACCTTTGGGAATAAAATTATTTGTGCTTGAGTAATTTTAAAACGTATTTTAATAATTACTATATTTATAAAGGAATTTATAATCAACTCACGATAAAAAAATAATAACAAAAACTGAAACAATCTCAAACGTAAAGTAAACGGAGGCAATTTGGAAATAAAATTTTCATAAAATAATTTCTATCTATTTCTATGTATGAAAATTGTCGACTGGTTGTAACGTACAGTTGGTAGAGGGACATCCGCTTAAAAACCGGTGTTCATGATTAATAAATGCCGAAATATAAACAGGCACGTGGTAGAGCGATAATCCAATTTCGGTTTGGTTTCACGGTTTGGCATACATCGTCTATTCTTGATATTCGATACAACCAAATATATTATACGATCATACAATGTTTCATTCCGTGTACCAGAACTAAGAAACCTTTGTGCAGAAGGGTTAAATTTCTCTGTACCCATTCGTTGATGAGTAAATAAAATAAGTGTAATTGTATTTTTATTAACAGCAAAAGCAAAGGATTTTTATTTTAGTCTTAGATACATAAACCATTATTTGTCTAATTTGTTTACTCATATTTCATTCGACAAGGTGGATGTAAACGACGTTATTGACATACTCGAAGATAATAATGACTGTAGCAACTGTGTCGAAACCCATTCAACCTCTTATAAAGAGAGGACGTCCAAGGAAGCGAACCATTACGACACTAACTCCACACAACAACTCAGAGGACGCAGATGCAAGTAAATATTTATTTTTTCAGTCCCTGTCGTAGAGACAACTTCGGGGCCTGAGAGGGGAGAAAATGTAACAAAATCACATATCACGCAACTACACAAATGTAGTAGTAAAAATAGTAAGTACTTCCGCGGCACTCCGCTAAATGACATTGGCAAATTTTTATCTATTTTTATATTTTTATTTATTTATATAGATTTTTCCTCGGAGAATGTCTGCCATCGACGATTGGGAGAGATAAGAGAGGGTTCTTCTGTCCTACAGCATGCCACGAGTAATGAGCCTTCAGCTCGCCTATTCATCCGGTGGCGCAGTTGAGGCCATCAACGGTCAACTGCAAAGTGTCAGTATCAAAAAAAAAAACGAAACTACAGCTCGCCCCTCTGACGGTAGTCCTGAGGCCTGCCGTTACTTAGTTTTTAGTTTATTGTTGGTTTACGAGCCTTGAGCTCGCCCTTTTATCCGGCGGCGCAGTCAAGGCTATCAGACACAAGGGGAACCTACTACATCCCTTGTACGCATCTAGCATTGCTTCCTTATTTGGAACAGCTTTTTAGATCGTACATACCTAGTACCTATCGCTAGTAAAGGTTATTGGTCACACTAGCCCAGAGACGCGGCCTACATATATCGAGCGTATGGAACTTCCGGGAGGAGCCTTCTTTGGTTTGTAGTACACCCGACAAGTAACCAATAAGACGCTTATTTATAAGAAAAAAATGAAGTGGTGGAAAAAGGTCTGGGCTCACGTAGTTTCGAATAAATCGTTTTTTCGCGTAGACGCATGTGGCGTGCCACAAGGTAGCGTTCTGGCACCAATACTATTTTTAAAATACACTAACAGCTTACCTGACGTCATACTATAAAAACATATTTGTAGACTATATTCCTCAACAATAACTTATAAAGATAATTGACTAAAGTGCGAATCTAACATGAATAATAAAATGGTAATTTAAATTAATAAAATGGCAATAAAAATTAATTGGCTCAACAACACTATAAAGAAATAAACAAATTCGAAGAAGTAGTCCCCTTCTACGAACAAAGTCACCGTCAATTAATACACTTTAATTTTTTCTAGCAAATTAATGGGTAATAACTGTCGATGAGTTTGAATAAAAATTTCATATTGGATACGGTATGGAATATTCTACATTGTTATGTTTATTTTCTACGGATGCTACGTGACTCTTTCGCTATTTTTACTTTGGAAGCCTTTCGGGGCTACGTAGTGTCTTTACTTCGACATGTGCTCGTTATGTGTAGCACAAAAAAAAATTTGTATCGCAAAAAATTGCCCATTGGCAATATGTGGCTTAGGGCCTAGAGGAACTTTTATTTAAATTTTCTTAATATTTTACCACTTCCTAGTGCGTACATTTTTGAAACCTTTCAAAGGATACGGGACGTTCATAACAAAAATGCAAGGTGCCCAGATACTTTAGTATATAACAGTTATACCAAAATTAGTTACTACGAGAAACATGTGGGAACATGTGTGTGTTATATAAAAGTGGTGAATAATAGTAATAATTTATTTAAAACGAGTTTGATGTAAATGTAATGATTTTAGCTATGGTTAAAAGATACAAAAGTCTATTTTACAAGGAAGAATATTGATTCTTCATGAATGATGAAGAAATTTGTACCAATATTTACAAAGAGCAACCCCTAAAGTTTCTTATTAATTCTTCTCAGGGGAATCTACCTTACAAATGAGCAGAAGAGTTCAATCAATATGATGATTTCAAATGTAATTTGCTTACCTATGAAATAAAGATTATTCGACTTTGACTAAGCGTGTTTGGTTGCGCCGAAACGGTATTTTGATTTTACTTCATGCAATTTGGACGCTTTCATAGCAATGGTTTGATTGGATCAACATTTACTTCCTTATTCCATTCTTTTACCGCAAATACTTTAAGCATGCAAGAGCGAGACAACGTCACCCAACTGGTAACAGTTGTTGCCTTCCGGCGAATGTAAAAATGGCCGCGCGCGCAACTGCCGCCCCCGCAAATTGTTGTTAAAAATGTAGTGAAACCATTGACTTACAATTATATGGACGTCGGGTCCGCGCTAAAAAGTGTCCGAACTTATAGGGCGTTAAAATCGTATACAGAGCGTCATTCACGCTTTAGTCTTCGTTTGTTCGACTGTCAGCGAAGCGATTAGACAGTACTGCGATGACATTACAATTTAAATTCAACGTTTTAGCTTTTTCATATTCCTTTACATGTCACGTTTAAATAGGTTGACTTGAGACATTTTTTTCGTGGTTTTTATATTAGACCCGTCGTCCATTTATTTGTAAATCAATGAGTGAAACCATACTAATTTGAAAACTATAGTGAACGTAAGTTTTGGTGAACTTGTAACATCAAGAATCGCTTCCTTGGCGAGGCAAGGAACCGAGACCTCTCAACTCTCCGGCGAAACGGACTCGATGGAGTGAAAAGCAAAGAGACTTATTAACAACAATTCTCTTGTGGAATCGCAGCTACAAAATCTCGACCATCGCAGAAAAGTAGCCTGCTTGTCGGTTTTCTATCGGATACATTTCGGGGAGTGTGCGCAGAAACTTTTCAATTTAGTTCCACCCTCACCGTTCCTCCTTCGGTCGACTAGAATGTCCGGAGCACTCCATCTTTATGTCGTTGATATTCCACCTCCTCACAATAAGCGCTTTGCTTCCTCCTTTCCGATGCATATGGCAAAGGAATGGAATGCGCTGTATTTCCCGAAAAGTACAATTTGGGGCTATTCAGGGCTAGAGTGAATAGGCATATTTTAGGCAAACGCGTCCCGTCGTCGGTCACATCGTCGCTTAACATCAGGTGAGATTGTGGCCAAGCGTGTGTCTATTATATATTAAAAAAAAGAACGGCCACGCGGTTTGTTTCAAGATGTATTGTGCTCCCAGCTTAGCTGCTGGTCTTATTTCTTTCTGTGTACTTATTTATTAATGTACAGTTCACAAATTCCAAGGAAGGCATCGTTTGCATTCCCAGAATGTTCGGCCGGGTTGGGCTACTCGTAACTAAATCGCGCCACCAGTATTTCCTATTTTTCTTTTTTCATAGTTGTGCACATTTCCGTGGAAAACGAAATTTTAAGGTTTGGTTTTTTTTTCATAAACAGAATGTTAACATGTTAACTTTTGACCTCATCTATCGCAGGTTACAGTTATATCAAGACTTGTAGAATTGTATTTTTAAACCAGTTTCATATATCAAAAGGAAAGGCCAAGTAATATCGTTCTGAAATAGTGCTATTATAGTCGATGCTAAGAAAGCTCCTCTTCGTTCGCTGCGCTTCAATTAAAGATTTCTCTGCGATTTTTTTTCTCTAAAGTAAATTAACTTGCTCTTGAGCACTACCTAGCCTTGGAGTAAAGATAGAATTACCATGGAACGAGTTCACCCAGAAAACGCCTATTCAATCGCATTTTAAAAATACTCTAGTTGTATGTGCTCTGAAACTTAGTCGCAGGCAGGGAATCCTTTTATGGGTTGTGCGCATAGTGAAAGATGACGAAAAGCGCTTAGTATGCCTGACTTTATCTGATCTTTACATATAAATCTTCAAAAAAAAAAGCTAATTTATGATAACTGCCTTAATTCTATTGGAATTGCTTTAGAATAATTTTGCTTCTAAAATGTAAATAACCATAGATTTGCATGCCAATTTTGGTATACCACATTTTAGGCAAATAAATATCATTAATTTATTCATCCATTCAATCCGTTTAAAGGTACAAAATTTAATTGAGTACCATACCCCAGAGGCCATCGTCACTTTTAGCCATCTAAAGTGACGATGCCCCAGGTTAATATAATTATTGTTTGGCAGAAGTACCCGCTAGCCTTCTGGTCTGAGACTTCAACAAGGCGAACTGACAGTCGGCACTAGGAGATAAAATAAATATATAATCTAAACATTTTGGGTATCTTACATTAAGGTTCGAAACGGATAGAAAATACTTAGAGCTTATGAGAAGGTAGCCTGTTAGAAAACACGCAGACGAGCGCTTTCCGTGCTAAAGACATGCACCATTTTATCACCACTCGACTGGTTGCGAAGAACTATTGTTTGGCCAAACCTTACAAAGTGTTAGAAATTTAACAGCAAAAGATAAAAAAGTAAGAAAAACGATTACATAATGCCTATTCCTATAAACTGGCATTTGGTTTCGAATCCTAAATCATTCGCAAAAAAACACCCCGCAAAAATAATGCTCGACGAGAAATATTATTTTATTTCCCCTACAGCCACATAACAACCCAGAGACCAATTCATGAATAATAAAAATCTGTATACGACGTGGAATGAACACACGAAACAATGTATGGTTATATAAACAATACATTGTAGATAATACACAATACGGAATTTAAACATGATAGATGTCCTGGGATCATGGCATTTGATAACTCAATGTCATGCATTATCGTAATTCAGATAACTAAAGCCCTTATTTACGTTAAAATATGATATCATTTTGAAAGTCAGAAGAATGTTATATATGATTAAAATAATCTTACAGGTTATAACAAAAAGTCAGCCCTATTATGAGATGTAATAAACCTATTTTATTGGCATGTAAATGTAACATACAATTATAAAATGTGACAGAATGAGAAACATTATGACCCATGAATGACAACTGATTTCAAAGAGAACGTAATGACGAAAACAGAAAAAAGGTAAGTTCAGGTGGTTTGGACACCTGTAGCGGATGTATGAAAGTTTAATGGCGAAAGAAATAATATACAGAGCCAACGTGGAAACCGACAATGTTACAAACGTCCATGAAGGACATTCTCATCAAATTGAGAATGTTCTTGAAAAGGTTGCAATACGTAGTGAGAAGAGTAGACAGATGAATAAGTGAAGCAAGAGATGTTCGCCAAGCGGCGATCCATAGTATCTGCCTATCCCAAATAGAATCCTAAGGCATTCAGTATAATATATTATGAGATTTATTAATGTACTCGAATTGTAGAGTTTAACAATGTAGCCGTACACGGTAAAAACAGATTGCTTAGAAAAAGACAAAATTCTTTTTATGAAGACAAATTTATTAAATCCAACAAAACGATCCTCTCCCTATAGACGCTAGAGAATAATTACTTGATAATAGTAAAAAAACGTCTCAAAAGTGTATTTTAGTTACAAGACAGAAATATTTATCCCAAGAGCAAATTAATTTACTTCAAGTCACAAAGCCACTCTAGATTCAACAAAATATTTATTTGTTATTAGAAATATCCGATTTTGATTTGAAAAAAAAGAATGAAAAATTGAGAGGTAGGTACATTGACTTACAATTATATGGACGTCGGGTCCGCGCTAAAAAGTGTCCGCACTTGTAAGGCGCTAAAATCGTATACAGAGCGCGACACTCCGCTTTAGTCTTCATTTGTTCTACTGACAGCGCGATACTGCGATGACATTACAATTTAAATTTCGAATAGGTTGACTTGGGACATTTTTTTCGTGGTTTTTGTATTAGACCCGTCGTCCATTTATTTGTAAGTCAATGGGTAGGTACTTAATTATTTGACTGAAGATTTGTTTTCTAATATCAAAAATGGTTAATTTACAGGTTTATGGACCCAACAGTATGTCTCACTAGCGTAAAAGCACACAGTTCAGTGCCAGACCTCAAAGTAACAGAAATAGGACGGAATCTTCTAAGACTTGAGGACCATTCAGTACCGCATAAATGCTACAGCGGTGAAAGCACTAACAATTCTTAATATATGAGATGACTTTATACTATTGAAGTTAACAAAACGATAGCGCGTTTCAGAGTACAACTAATGCCATCTAGCAGTGGCGTGATGGAACTAATTGCATGTTAAAGTTGTGCTTGTTCCAAGTGTAGTGTGATTTCATGCTGAAACCAAATTTCTTATATTATGACTATAAATAACACCCTAACAAACTTTGGATAAATGACTGCTTATGATTTTTATGATTACAAGCACAAGTAAAAGTGATCGTTACCGCGTGCGCCTTCGGCGACATGTCACGTCAACATCGACTATGGAAACCTAACGAAATGTTGCTTTAAAAACATACTCTAGAATTTAGAATATTAATCTGAATAGCAAACTACTTCTTTTTTGTTTAAGAATATATTTTCTTAAAATACACCCAAGAAATTTTTAATTCATTTAAGATTATTTAAATTTGATGTAAGGGGTAAAAATGTATTGATGTAAGTAATGTCCAATTAATTGATTAGAAATGAAATAAAATCTTGAAGTGAACGTATTTGTCTAAAAGTTAAGAATAAAATTGTATTAGAAAAAGATAAGCAGTATTTTTGTAATAACAATATTTTATTACTTTTAATAAATATTTTTTCAGAATTAGCAAATATTTTGAGAAATTGCTCTTTCTTATTAGTAGAAATCCTTTTTTTCTGTGTACTGTGGTATACGTTCATAATAATGACGTCAATAATAATAATGGTGTGCCATACAACCACACCAATTACCAGGTCTTAAACTAGGAAATTCCGTTTACCATGAGAACCGGTGCAACGTCAACACCTGTAATGGTCAGCTCCAGTCGGTTTGAGTGAGCATGAGACTGGTTGTGCGTGAGTTCTGGTTGACCCGGTGCTGCGTGTAAAATTTATAAGCGAGGAGAAGGAAGGGCGCCTTACACATTACGAAAACAAGTTCCATGTAGAAATAACCAGATGATTTATTTAAATTTAAAGCTATAACATGTTATATGTGTTGCGGTTAATTATAAGGTTACAGTATGAAGAACTAGTTTTTTACTTCCCCGAGTTTACATTATGAGTTTACAGATACGCTTTTTGCTTTTATCAGTTACACATAAAAGGTTCACTTTAAGTATACTTAGAGCGAATACACTGCACTAAGAGTTTTTGAAAGTACATGAGTGGCACATGGACACGTCACTTATACGTCACTGACCTGGAGGTTACCGGATGCACTTTTAGATTACAAACCAGACCCGCTGCGAAGACAGCGTAGTTTCTACAGGAGCAACGCCAATACATGTGAATGCCGACCACCCGTGGAGCACATGACACGTGGTCGTTCACAGCCGAACAAAAGTTACGGCGCTTTTGTCTCAGCCATTTAGTTGATGGCGAAACTCGAAATTACGAGGTACAAAAAAAAACCCTGCAACAATACAGATTGTTACAGTACATTGAAATAAATGACAAAACATTTAGCGAAGGAAAGAATCCAGAGGTCAACTCACCATGCGGTCCGGTGACACGGGTTTTACATCTTGTACAGGGTTCGGAGACCCAAAATTATGGCATCTGGCTATTCCATATTTTTCTTACAAAAGGAGGCATTGGGAGACCATGCCCCCAATGGGATAAATCACCGCTGAAGAAAAAAAAAATCTAGAACACCTTTCGAGCCGACGTGTCGAACAGAAAAGACAAGCTTCCGCCGCATTCCTCCTAAGAGATGTTACCCGCGAACAACGCCACAGACAACGTTCGACATGGAAATATTAAAGAAAAGCTATAATTTACATGAAACTCGACTACAAAAGTAAAATCGAGTTTATTGGTCCGCAGCACTAGTACTCTACGTTACCATACAAGAAAATTTAGCCAGGGTTGGTGTTTTAAAAAATATGTCAAACTAAAGGGTACTCATTCACGATTTTATAGAAAAATCGTTCATCGACAAGTAATAAAAATGTGAAGGGTTTAAATAATAGATTACACCATAGTGTTATGGGGGTTTTCAAATAATTTACTTAATTATTCCTAAACTACAATGTCAAAGTGACATTTTGTACATGAATGGCGAAAAATACCAAGGAGAGAAGAGAAATTTTGTTTTTGTTTTAAATTTACGAGATCTACCAAAAAAAACGTGTTGCACACCCAGACCAGAAACGACATAGAAAAGATCGTTTCCCAAATTAGTCCTACCGAATTCAGGACTTCCTCATCCAGCGCCCACAGTACACACACCTTACCTATTTTTTTAAGTACTGCCATCTAACCTATTACTAGTGCCAAGCAGTAATGCAAGCATCACTGCGTTCCGATTTCGAAGGGTAGGCGTGTTAGTGAAATTATAGGCACATGGGACTTGTCAACTTATGTCTCAGGGTGTCGGCGCAGTGGCACTGCAAGTGTTATGGACAGGCGTGTCGTTTTACCATCAGATGGACGACTTGTTCGTTCCGTGACTTAATATTATAAAAAAACCGACCAGGTCACCAAACATTATACAATACAAATCCTTAACTCCAGTAATCATAAAATTTCTTGTTTTGTCTGTATTCGAAAAACGAAAAAGTAACTTTCCAACGTGATCTGAATACAAGAATATAAGATATTTATTCGCTGAAAAATGTAGTTTACAATGGTGTTATAGTATATTATTATTAGATCGTACATTTCACCAAAACTTGGCATGCGAATATTTTACACAATTCTTATTTCAATCACGCACAGTGGTTAAATTTTACATTTTATGTTATCTATTAAAAAATCATTTATATTGTAGTAGCATTGTGTAACTAACAAATTATGTAATTTTATTTTAAATTGCCTACAATTTAGTTCTTTAACTGCATCTGGTATTTTATTAAATAATTTAGGTGCCAATATAAACATCGTTCTATTGTAAAATTCCAAGGTGGGGCGTTGTTTTGGCCGTATTTCTATTTTGTTCCTTGTTTTCCTGGGATGTCTGGTTTTCACTAGATTAAAGTTGCCTGGATTTTGTTTTATATAAACACAGGCCTCGTAAATATACATAGATGGTAGGGTTAAAATCTTTAGATTTCTAAAATAGGGTACACAGCTTTCTCGCTGGCCCACACCAAACATGGCCCTGACACATTTCTTCTGGGTTTTAAGCAGTGGTGTAATATGTGTTGCAGCAGCGTTCCCCCAAAGCAGCAGACCATATCGCAAACTAGAGGCTACATATGCGTGATAAGCACAAAGAGCAGTTTTTTGTGACGTTATTCTCGTCAGATTTTTCAGGACGTATACGTATTAACTAAGTTTAGTATTTAACTTATTTATATGTGACTTCCAGCTCAAGTGATTATCAAGAGTAAGGCCCAAGAAATTTGTTTCATCAACCTGAGCTACATTTTGTGCATTGTAGGTTATAGTTAAATTTTTTGGTCGTGATTGTGGCATGTAGAACTGCATAAACTTAGTCTTGTCCAAATTTACTACGAGATTATTTAATTGTAGCCATTTTATAGTGTCACTTAGTGCATCATTTAAAGTTGATTCATATTCATCAATATTAGTGCATCTCACAACCACAGAGGAATCGTCAGCAAAAAGTATCATTTTTTGTTGAACATGGTCTGGCAAGTCGTTAATATAGACAATAAATAATAGTGGCCCTAAAATACTGCCCTGCGGTACACCGCGCTCTAAAGTTCTAATATTTGATCTGACGTTGCTGCAACTCAATAAATCATCATCGTCATGATCAACCCATTCATACGTCCTACAGCTGGGCACAGTCCTCCTCTCAGGCGACAGTTTAAGCCCATAGTCCGCAATGCTGGCCAATGTGAGTTGGTGACTTTACACGTTTTCCAAGGATTATGAACCTTCTTCGATGTGCAGATTTTATCACAGTAAATTTCAAATTTAAGAGGAAACTTAAGAGGTGCGAACCCGGACTCGAACCCACGACCCTTTGCTTGAGAGGCGGTAGGTTAAACCATTAGGCTGCCACGGTTATAAACGTAAATGATAAATATTAATCGACATAATATTAACCTTTTTTGAATTTTTGTCACTGGAGTCTCATTCCTATGTCTAGTATGAAAACCCCACAGATGTAATAGGTTTTTTTGTCCTATGAGGATCCATCGGGCGAGCTTGTATCGTCGGAAGGATCAACGGAGGAGAGTCCCACATGACCCCGTGATATCATCGCCCGCAGCGGGGTATGTGTACCCATTTTCCTGCGTATAAAAAAAAGGTCTAACCATTACAAAAGGTATTGAAAATAAAATTAGTATTTATTTTTTATTCCTGGTAAATAAAGTTCAGTATCATTGACACTTTTATATGCCGAAATATTATACCTTTTTGTTATATATCTTCAAACGTTATGTACCATAATGCACATAATAACACATATACCATAATATGGAGTTACATCCGTTACGCTTCAGACATTCGTCTTTATAACTTCCTCGAATTATCGTCACTCGAATCTTTTCATAGACGTTCGTTTATTGCTAGTAATTTTAACCTGACCCGTTTTTAAGACTCAATCTGCTTGAGATATGTACGCCAAAGTCGACCTTTCCCCAGGTTTCCTACCACGTTCCATCTATAAATTTGGGCTGTTATTCTAATAACGTCCATCCCTTTCATATGAGCAAAACATCGAAGGATTCGATTAGTTAGTATATAATCGCATGTATATAGCCTGTATAAGTATAAATATATAAGGTATAACAAAATGGGGCAGTAGAAAACTAAAAAAAATACAATTTTTTTGCTCTTGTGAAAGAGACCGTTCAGGGAAGTTCTGCCTAATTACCTATTTCTGCCGCCAAGTAATATGAGCGTTGCTGCGTTCTAGTTTTGACGAGTTAGTTACGTTAGTTACGTTAGTTAGTTAGACGAGTTAGGGCGCACTGCCACTGCAGTGCCCCCTTAGATCTTTGCGATTTAAAACTCTGAGTAGCACTGCAATTGCCATGGACAGGCCTGTCGCGTTACCAACAGGCACACACTTGGTATCATAAAAAAAAAGATAAATTAGATATGTAACATCGAGCATAGAATATTACTAACCTCGTGTCCGATACAAATATATTCCTTTGAAGTTAGTTGATGATGGCGGGAAAAATTAAAATTCTTTTTTATTTAAAAATGGTTGAATATTTCATAATAACTTTCGATACCCACATTTTTCTTTTCGATTAATAAAAATAAATTATTATTGACGCCGTCATTCATACTGTCATTGATATACCGCGTGCTTTTCTCCCGAATTTTGTGTTCAACCATTTCGGTATAATGATCGTAAATAATTCAGATTATTATGAAATGATATGAAAGCCTTTGAAGAAGATTTATCAGCGGTAGATCAGAGGCAGTATGGGTGCAAATGCATTCTACCGATTTTAAGAATGAAGTAATAAAATCATAACTAATATAATTAAAATTTCGATCCACAATCATTCCTAGAACATTTCATAGCTCATATTGTTTAACTTCTATTTTGAAACGAATCCAGGCTGTATTTTACAGTGATATAAAATCAGATATTGCTTTCGATGTTTACCATAGTGCACTTTAATATTTGAAAGGTGTGCTCAGTAACACAGAGAGGACAATATATATATCGCGGATACAAAATATATCGATAGAACAACATCTTATTTTTTGTAAAAAGACTTTAAAAAATGAGGAGGTCCTCAATTGGACTGTATTTTTTGTGTGTGTGTGTGTTACACGATTACTCCGGTATTTGTGAATCGATTTTGATGATTCTTTTTTTGTTAGAAAGAGGGTACTTCAGTATTGATCCCATTAATAAATTTGAACCACCTCTATGGGGTGCAAACTAGGGAATGAATCCGGTTTCGCGCACTTTCCGGTAACCGATTGCAATTAAACTTGGCAAATAGATGACCACGAACTTTGATGTAATTTTTTTTTATAATTTTTGTATGCGGTCTGATAATTATTCTGTATACGGAATACATATTTCATAAGATATGAAACTATTTTTCCGGATTAAAGTCGCGTATGTTTGTTTTTTCAAACAAACCAACTTGACCATGGGATCTGTAAAGGGCCCGAGACGGTGGTTTGTTTGAAAAAACAAATATACGCCATTCAAATCCGGAAAAATAGTTTCATTTCCTTTGTGTAATAATCGCGAAAACGTAAGAACTCGATATATCAGATTTCTACTTTATTTTTAAATTGCACTCTATATATAATACAAAGTGCAGTTTTATTTTGTAGGTCTATAGTACTACAATATAAATTGCACTTTGTATTATTGTCATAGCAATAAAAACTTAGTTATTGGTGCTAAACACTTGGCTCTCAAGTAACAATATTTTATTCTATGTATTTTTTACCACTCAAAGTTTTAAATGGCAAAGTTCTGAACTGCGTGAGACATAAAATGGAAGTCCCATATGCCTGTAATTTCACTAGTACACTTAACCCTTCAAAACTGACACACAGTAAGCTCGTTTTACGGCATGACGGCAGAAATGGGTATGGTATCAGTACTTCTTGGACGAATTCTTTCACAAGAAGCTCTACTACTGTTAAGATATTAAAGATTTAACGATCCTAATAACTATTAAGCGATCTATATGAATGTGATATTGTTGTGTAATAAAGGGTTATAATATGTAAAACATCTACAACAGATATAATGATTGAATATTTCATTGGTTATGGATATTTCATTTCATTCATTCGTTTCCTTATTGGAGATTGCGGTGTAGACGTGAAATAAACTCAAGTACGAATTGCTTAGTACGCTTATTAGAATTTTTGGTTGCGTACCTTCTAAAAGCTTCTTTGTGCCATAAACATCGCGTAGTATTAGGCTCAATTTATATTGCAGAGGAATGGAATGAATTTTATCAACGTTTGACGTCACATTGCGCCTGCCTTCGCGCCATTTCCCGCAGAAGCGTCAGGCGTCGCCGACAGCAGCTGCGGAATTCTAGTAAGCGCGAGAATTCGCCGGAAGACATTTCTTCTTTTTCTCTGCTACTTGTTTTTTGGCTCGTTTCAAGTTTGTACAATTTACATTATGCTCATTTTACTATGTACAATTTCCGTTCAACCGCAATGTAAATTGAGCCTTATGTACTATTGCTTAAGGGCCATGGACGCAAAATCCATTTACGTAGAAATTATTTCGAATTAGAATTAAAACTACGAGCGGTTACACACTGCGACTTTTCGATGCAAACGCGATGCAAACGAGATGCAATAGCGATGCAGTCGCTAATCGTCTACCTTTGCACACGCGAGCGGTTTTAAACAGCGATGCAAACGCAATTCAAGCGCGCGACTGCGTCGATACAAACGCGCGATTGAATCGGTACACACGGGACTTATACGCGATTGCATCGATGCAATCGCCATGTGTAACTGCTCTACGACATGGCACATTTTTAATTTAAAATTAGAATTACAAGAGTTTCTAGTAGCATATCAGTTTTCGTTCTCATTTGGCACCTGGTTGTAAACTGTGAGCCCGTCTTACTGGTTTAAATCAAAACCATTCATGCCGTTCTAATATTTGGCACTAAGGTTCAATTTATCGCATACGGCGTTACCAGACGGAAGCTAAATAATTAATGTTGTAACGCTCGATAATATCAAATAATAGACGATGCTTGTTTTGGATCATACAACACAATACAAAATTGCGCTTCAAATTAGCTATTTAGGTATAAACACTGTAGTATTCTTATTCACCTCGTACAATGAAGAGCACACAAAACAAAAACAAAGGTTGTTTAAATTTACACAATGTACGTTAACACAATAGGTATAAGGTAGCTAATATACAAACAGGAAATATTGGCATAAAAAGCGTAGAGCGCAGGCGGAATTTATCGGGTCCCTTTGCGAAATATACGTACGAATCGGCCAGCGCCAAGTGATTTACGTACACGATAACCATGTAGGTCAAGTACACACGGGATGACGAGATAAAAAGTTAATTTCTTGCAGAGTTAAAGATACCGTTTATTTATTACTAAACAATGTCTACAGTATTAAACAATATCATAATAGAAATTGAAAAAAAATTGTGTAAGATTTAGCGCATGCAAAATGCTTGTGATAAAGCGGCCATTTAAAATTAAGGAATAAGTGGTCGGTATATGTTTTTTTTATATTAAAAATAAGTGCGCATTTCACCTCCATCTCACCTGATGGAAAATGATGATGAGGTCGACGATGTAATATGCACACCTTAGAATAATAACGCATAGAATGATAGTTTCATATCAAACGAACTGTCACAAGGGAGGCAAAAATCAAATTCATGTAGGCTAGTTTTAGTAGTAGGTTAATTTTCGGTTTTAGTGAATATTTATATAAAAATACAAGTTGAAACGCGTTACTTCCTTGTGGAATGTGATGTTAGTATCTATTTTATGTTTGTCTGACGTATTTTGACACTCATTTACTGCACATTTCGTCATTTTTAGCTAAAATTCTTGATCTGTTCGCGGTGCAAGTTGACCTTGAGCACTGAAGGCCCGCCCGCTCGTGTAGGCCCTTTGGGCGCGCTTCAATTTGCCTCACTTAGCGTGTGCGGACTAGGTTTCTATGCGTTATTATTCTAAGATGCACACCTAAATAATGTCTATTCACTCTCACCTCGAAAAGGTCCAAGTTATAGCGTTCCGGGAATAAGCCCGCAGGACTTACACTCTCTAGCCGCTCGCCATAATGTGGAAGCGATACGCTTCGTGCGCGTCCTGGAATTATCCACAACATAGGGATCGAATCCCAGCCTACGTCTAGTCACCCGATAATGGAAACGGGAAGGCGGAATCAAATTATGCAATGTGACATATCCTGTAGAATACCGATAAGGCTTTACGGCATATTTATGTATTTCTGAACATTTTCGAACTTTTTAGAAGCAACTCCTTGTGACAGTTTGTCCAGGGAAGTACTGCCGTCATTCCTATTTCCGCCGTCAAATGATAATATGAGCATTACTGCGTTCCGGTTTTGATGGGTAAGTTGGTGAAATTACAGGCATATAGGCTTGTCAACTTATGTCTCATGGTGACGGATGTAGTGGCAGTGCAACTGCTATGAACAGGCGTGCACCTTATTGCCAGGCGCACGACTTGGTCATCCCGTCACTTGGTGTCATAAAAAAACAGTATCAAGTTTGATTGTGTGTCTTTAATTTGCTTTTTACTCT